GAAAGGCAAACAGGTGAATAAGAGCCAAGTGAAGCCGAAGAGTCAAGCGAAGCCATTGGTTGCTGATGAACCCCTTGAGAGGCGAGAGGCGAAAGGCTGCGCAAGGTCCTTTGCAATTTGTGTCTGTGCTGAGGCCAGGACATGCGGTGAGCCCAGAGTGCCTGCAATTGCACGAGCGCGAGACAGGTTCACGGGTTAGGTCAGGCAGTGTGAGAGTACATGAGGCAGGTTCACATTTGAGGTCAGTCAGCACGAGTCAAATTTGCTTTGCCCCGCTGCAGGAATTGGAAGAGTCAAGTGAAGCCATTGGCGTTTCAAATGATGGAGTTTCTCAAAAAAAATGGTGAGAGAGATTCAGGTGAAAGGACATGAGGTTGAAAGCATGAGTCAAGTGACACTTGGCAGAGAGCAATGTGTGTCAGGCTGCTGGTTTGGAGAGTCTGGATTGGTTTGGGGAAAATGACAACTTGCAAGAGACTCAAAGCGAACTGCTGACCGTTGGATGGTTCATGAGGATCAAGTGGTTCGAGTGCATGTGAAACTGCGACTGGCTTTGTTTTTTTGTGAAGGAACTGTTTCTTGAAGAGTTGACTGGAGAGAGAGAGACGGTGGCTCTGTTTGTTGAAGGAGGCAGGTGTGTGATACGAGACAGCTGGACCAACGAAAGGAACGAAAACAAGTCATTGGTAGGAAAATGGAATGGTGAAACCCGTGCCAGCCGTGCCTCGCGCAAGGAACCTCACTGCCAGGAGTCAGCGTTGGATGCTTCTGCAGGCTCAAAGAAGACCATGGAACTGGTTTGGGGCCCTGTGGAGGAGATTGAGATTGAGTCCAGAGACTTGGGCGTATCAGGTCAAGAGGGGGTGTGAAAATAATCACATCTGATTATCAGTGAATGACCTGATTGCTCTTGGCAAGACTTGTGAGCTGTGCTTGATGAGCGTGTGAAAGATGATGCAATGGTGGATGTTGGGATCCGTGAGGAACCCTCGGTTCATCTTTGTGTTTTCTATCCGTATTTTGTTGGTGAGTTTGATGACTTTGCTCATCCCAATCCGTAAGATATGATGTTGAGCGTTTTCAATTCGTTTGTGGGTAGATGTGTTCCGTATGAGACGCGAGGATGACCTGGCGGCCATCTCCAGAAGATAGGATGCATGTCTTTTGGCCATGGTTGACTTTGGTGGAGTTGGTTGAGGCATGGTAGAGATCCGTTGGACGGTGTTTTGTACCAAGGTTGACCGTTGGTCAACTCCTTGTAAGTCTTGGGTGAGTCGACTTGGATGTTTTGGGTCGGAGCTTTGTTTCGGGTTCCTTTGAAACTTGAACGAACTTGTTGTGGCAACAAATTGGCTCAAGGCTTAGCTGGGAGGCCCTTTTCTCCTTAGTTGTGAAGTGACGCTCAACACCGTCTGGCCAGGTGCTTGCTGAGTGAAGCGACTCGGGCCAACAAGACGTTCAGTGGAGTTTCTTGTTGGAGCTGGGTTTGTGGCTTGTCGCCAGAGGGCGCCCCAGCCTTCTGTACCCAAGGCAACTTCTGTGGCGGCCCCTTCTGAACCTGAATCATGAGCTGACTTGCCACCCACCAAGCTGGACAGCACAGTAGTGTTGTAAACCCAAAACGCAACATACCAGAACGCGTAAGTGTGTCTGTGGCCTCAGACGTCCGCCTAGCACTCCTGCCTAGACACGCACGCATCCTTCAGAGGAGCAAGCTTCAACTTCAAGGCAGCGCGCAAACGGTGCACCTGGAAATAAGCCATCCACCTATGTCTACTATGCTGCCCTCTGCGCATGCTTCTGCGGCTGCCTTGGGCGCATTGAAGCACTGAGTGAGCCATTCCACGCTGGCCTTGCGGCTCTGAACAGACGGGTGTGCTCAGCCGACGGATCCGCTACACGCACCAGGCAGGCCGAAGGGTGTTCTAATCTGAGTTCCGTTGAATTCCAGAATTCCAGGCGCCTTTAAGAACAAGCCGCAATCTTGAGTGCGTTTCACACCGCACGATTTCTGGCCGCAGAAGTCCGCTTTGACTTTGCATCCTCAACCAGAGCATAGGGCAGCCTTGCAACCGCACTGAACCCTAAAGTGGGGGTGTCTGTGCAGGCTCCGCATGGGGATGCAGGTGAAGGGGATGGACACGGTTTGTCATCCCTCCTGCATTCCCGAGCCTGGACTGCCAAAAAAAAAGACGGAACGATTGGGTCGGTCGGGCTTGCGTTTTTTTTTGCTTGTTCCCTCTTGGCTTGAAGCAGTGAACAGGATGCTAACGCTTGGGGTTTGTATTTCCCCCGTGTTTTAATCCTGTTCGAATCTTCAGCCGCGTTGCCGTTCATGCTTCAAGCCATTTTGACACCCGCCCTATCAGAGCTCAGGTGAAAAACCTTGATGTACAAGGCTCGCAAGCCTTGATAGGAATTGCATTCAATCCGCACGTTGTGCCAGCATGCATAGTCTGCTGAGTTTGGTGGTTTTTTTCCCAGGACACATGCGAGGACGCATTCCTCCGGCATCTGTTCCGGACTCAGTCCAATAAGCGCATTCCTCAAAGTCCCTCACGAGAGCGCGCTTTGCTTTGTGTGGGACTCAACGTTACAGAACCAGCCATTGGTCCTGTCATTTGAGGACGCTTTCTTAGTCTCGCACACAAGTTGCAAGCATTGCTTTTTGAGGTGCCAAAATACCTCCAGTTTTGTTTCACACCCCTGGGTAATACACCCTGTGAACAGGTTGAACACGCGTTGTTAACCTTGGGGGTATCTGTGCAGGCTCCGCATGGGGATGCAGGTGAAGGGGATGGACACGCTTTGTCACCCCTCCTGCATCCCCAAGCCTGGACGTCTGAGCAACGCCTAATAAAAAAAGGAGCTGAACGATTGGGTCGGTCGGGCTTGTGTTTTTGATTGCTTGTTCCCTCTTGGTTTGAAGCAGTGAACAGGATTCTAACCGTACAACCAGCTTCCATTTCGCACCCTGACTGCCGAGGAGTCCCTTGCGGTCTGTGGAATAATGGGGTTATCCAGCCAAATCATATCCAAATCATATGACCCACCTGGGGGATGAGCATGCCAAACGAAACGTCACCGGCAACATCTTTCATCCAGCTGCTGTCCACAGCTTGTTGAGCCCTGCGTTTGCATCAAGACCAGGCGGCTCAGCCCAGAATTGGCGAGTGGCCATAGCCCGATCAACATTGCACGCAACCCCGGGAGCGAAATAGGACCGTTATAGAATGCCGCCTTAAGCAGACAGCACGCAAATTTGGCATGGCTAGATTGTCTTTCCACAGACTGCCTAACGTGGGCATAACGCGGGTTGAAGCAGTGGCTTCCAAGCCTGTGACCAGCTTCAACCAAGTGGGAACAAGAAGTCCATCAAGATTAAGAAGAAGGGAATCAGCTGCAGTGCGCTTGTATCTCAGGTGGCCCCGCAACGCCTGGAATACGATGCAGGGCCCAGTACACCGGTCACTGCTGCCTGAGGCTCCTTGAAAACGTTCCCGTATTGAGCAATATGGGCTTGATGATGCTGAGCCAAACCTGACCTTTCACTCGGGTGGCGCAATCTGCCTTACACCGTGAACTTTTTAGTAGCGGCAACATACAAACTTGAGTTGAGAAACATGGACTTCATTGCGCGTTCACCCCTAGATGGTTTGGATTGCGCAGCAGCTTAAGGCGGTTCGGTTCTTCTTGAATCCTTAAGACTGCGAAAACTTGGTGTCAGCGTGCTTTCGCAAACAACAAACATGTCGGAGTCGACATTTTGGAGGAAGGATAGAAGTGAGGTAGTGACTGTTGTTCATCGGGGTGCAAGTAGACATTCACAAACCAACTGAGGAGTAACCGAATGCTCCCAACGCAGACTTGAGCACATTTCTCCTGTTCTTCAATTGCAGAAGTCCACCAGTACCAACAAGCTTCTCTCCTGCGTCAAAAGAACGGTGTCGAAAAATATAATATTTGTTTCGTAAGTCGACAAGAACCACACTACCCACCCTTAATCAACAGCACTGCAACAGCACGGGGAAGCACCGGGAATCGCCGACGAGCCGGCAACCCGCAACACGAAGCCACACCTGTATAGGCAGCCAGCGACAAGAAACTGAGTCGCTGCCCCGCATGCTGAACACGTCAAACCGCTGCTTCCAGCCGCCCACCATCAAGTATGGCAGGCACTGTGCTGTGTGCTGCAGCACTGTCACGTCACGTTGTAGTAGAAGTTCTCTTGGCCGGATGCCCCGATCATCAACTTGAGTTGGACTTGGGCGCCCGTGCAAAGCACTTGCAGGGCATTTTTGAGGACAACGCGTGGGTGATCGCCTCGCCTGACGCATGGTATGTGTTTGGAAAGCAACAGACCCTGCTCACGATGTCTTGGACAACCAGGCGGATGCGTCCTCCTCCACTGCACAAATAGAAACGCTGTCAGGGCAGTTCGGACATGTTAAAAGGGTCTGTCCCCTTTTTGACCGCCCACCCACTCTGACTTTTGCCCAGGTCGATTTGTCAGGCCTCATCAAGGTTCGCAGCTGGCAAAGATAAGACAGTTTGTCCGGGAAGTGAGGCATTGCTTTGCTATTGCGTGGCGTCGCAACATTTGCGCAAAAACAACATGGGTAGTTCCAAAGAGTTGGAAGGAAGGTGGGTCAAAACGCAGCAGCTCTTGCTGTGGCGCTTGCAGCTTGAACACCGGTGTTAAAAGGGGGTGGTGCTTGTCTTATGCGACTGCGGTACGTGTCCGGTGCTCAAGGAACCAGCAAAGTGGAATAGCAGCCCATGATTGAACATCTACATGTACATCAAACTTATGATCAAGCGACACACAATCTCAAACAGCATTGCATCACGCCTATTTTTGCCCCTTTACCCAAGCATACCTGACAATAATATCAGAATACACATTGACAGTCATTCCGGGTTATCGTTTGGTATTGCAGTGGGACAGCTCAGCGTCACAGCAAATATGATCAAACAATTTTTTTTCAATGGTTATGAATCGGCTCATGAGCCCGTGGCCGCTAGAGCAGGGAGGGCTTTGATGAGGCGGAACATTTTATGTTTATCAATTTGCATCCATTGTAAAGTGGAAAGCACATAACTTGCTGTGTGTGCACTTTCTGGCACAAGTAGGCTCAGTGCAATATGCTCTGTTTTGCCAGGCATGGTTTGCGAGGATCTGGTTCAGTTCAGCAACGAAGAGGCTCGAATTGATACGCAATGGCACTTGCCGGTCAGCTTGGAAGTCCAAAAAGTCAAAGAGCGCCAGGAGGATCAGCTTCGACAGCAGTGCGATGCGTTGGAACAGCGGTTGCGCCAGGACAGTTGCAGCTTTGCTTTGAAGTGCCTGCCAGCATGATTGAACGCCTTGCATCATTTTGCGCGTGATGTGGTTCGTGAACTGCATCGATGTTCAAGTTTGAGCAGATATGCACTTGCTGGATGAAGACACGACCTTTCGATCGAATGATCACAGATAAACACCTAGGTTGAGTGAGTCTTTTGCAGCTACGCAGTTTCAGTCGTTAGTGTTTGTACAATGCCATCAACAAAGTAACACGAAACGTATGCTCTGGCAAAAGTAATAGCAGCATCGCATGGCAGTGACGCTAGCATGCAAAGCTACCAGGATAAGCAGCGTGCTCAAGTTAGCTCGCCATTTGGATTCTGAAATGCTTTGTGCAAGGTTTGATTCAGCAAGGCCGACCATCTCGTGGCGGTTGCCTCAGCCAACAGGCAAAATCAAGATGGATCAGAGATCTGAAGATCGTGCCTAAGGTTCTGGCATCAACAATGTGGCGTTGAACCTTTCAGCGGGGCTCTTGCAATGCGTATTCACGTCGTTGGTAGTTGAAGCTTGAAATTGTCTGCATGTTTTCTGGGTAAGGACCGGCCGTCAGAATTGTTCTTGGGAACAACCGCTTTCTTCAGCCTTAACGGGGGTTCCGGGGGCGGGGGGGGGGGGGGGGGGGGGGGGGGGGGTCCATGATGCCAGTTTTGAGGTAGAAGTGCCACTTTCGGAGTTTGCAGATCTTGTGGCGGCTCTGAAACACGCAGAGGTGCTGAGCGGTTATGTGACTTGTTGCCAGATTTGTTCATATTGTTCAGCCTGCGCGTTTTCCGCCAGGCTGATCCATCCAAGGCTTGTATCGTCCCATTAAAAAGCAGCCATTGAGTTTTCTGTTTCGAGGCGCGGTCATGTTCTCCAAGAAGGAGGCGATCTCCAAGTCCTGAGGCAGCAGCTGTTCGCATGCACGCTGCATCCCATTTGTGGATGCAGGGCAGAGAGAAGTTGCGCCTGGGGTGCAGACCTAAGGCATTGCTTGAGGCAATGCTTTGCATGTGCTGATGGCAAACATGTGGCGAGCTGAACAAAATGCACTGCTGAAGCAAGCAACCTGCCCGTTTTGGAGTTCCCTTCATGTCGACAGAGATGGCATCCAAATGAAATTCAATCAGATGATCTGTCCTTCACAGACTGCGGTGCGGTTTTTATTATTCTTGCCAGCCTTCCCAGGCCATTCGCGGGATGTGCAGAACTTGCAGGTGACTTTCCAACTCATGATCCATTTGAACAAATGGACATGGAGGAACTTGGTTGCTGACGGGTAAGGGCTGTGTGAATGGGGCTCAATTCAATTTGAAGTTTGCTGAACTGCGTCGTCTGTTGGCAGGATGCCACTCTGGAGAGTTCCTAGCCTAGATGGATGCAACCAGAAAGGGTGCTTCGGCCGAAAGCCGCTTGAGGCCCTATTGCTTCTCCGTGATGCGCTCAGCAAAGTGTTGCAACTTCATTTAGCATGCATTGCGATGATTCCGGTGTGTGATGTTTGAGGACGATCTTTTCTGCTGAAGCACCTTCTCCTGTTGATGAGTTGGAGGATGAGCAGGAGTGTTTCCGTTGTTTCGGTCTTTCTTTCCAAGTACTTAGCTTGCTGCGCTTGCTATCGAGGCAGAGCAAAAACTACCCAAGCAAGGTTGCTTTGGATGCAGCAGCCCAAGGGCAAATGACAGGCGCAGGTCATGCGGCAGGTTCAAGCACACTGGGGGCTCCAAAACAATCCTTTTTTGGCCCGGCATGACAAAGTCAATAACAGTATTTTGAGCAACGCCACTGCTTCTGGTGCAGATCGCTACTTCAACGTAGTTAGACATCAACAAGTGGACAGGCAAACAAGAGGTGTAGTATTTTTTCGTTTCATGTGAAATTCTAGCGCCTGACAAGTTTCAGAGATCGCGCGCCGCAAATCATACTCTATCCAAGTCTCAGGCACATGTGCAACACACCCGCCAGAGTACCGATGATGCGGGGCATGATGTTGAGCACGCTGACTGATAGGGGGTTCATGAAAGTGCGCATGTTGCCTATCCAAGAGGCCTTCGGTCCAAAGTTACAAAAGCTCTGCCCAGCATAGGAACTGGCTAACATGAAAGCTGCTTCGAGCAGCGAGTGTCACCCGTGAACACTTAAATATGCGGACAATCATCGACGCTTGAACAATGATTAGCAATGAAGCTCGGTGAGCAAGAATTGCCTTTCTGAATACTCTTGAGTTTTGTTCATCCCTGGTCACAGTTCTTTTTGCGCATTCGACCCTTGCAGGCAGTTTGGTTTCGCACGCAGGAAGCAGGGGAAGCTTTGTTGCCTTACCAGGCTTCGTGGGCACAAGAGAGCTTTCTGCAATTTGTAATGCAGTCAAGATGATCGCTGCTTGCTTCTTAGCATTTGAAGGCGGAGGCAACATTGAGAAGTCATTCGCGGCTGCTTCAGCACTGAATGGAAATTGCCGCATTTGATGTCACGAGGCATTCAGTGCAATTGCGCTGAGGAGTTGGGTGAATGGTGTCGCATGGTCACCTGACAGTGAACGGATCGTCACAGGTTGAGAACTTACGTACAAACAGCATTCAGTCACATGTGTGCAGCATTCAGTCTTTTTTTGTGGCCCGTGTTTTGTGTGTGCTTTGAGAAGTCAGGTAGTGCCGAACACACTGCATCGGCCTTGGTTCTGTTTCGGTGCTTTGTGATTCGCTTTTCACCGGTTTGAGGCCTGTGTGTGGAAGGCGTCCAACGTGGTGCCTTCACATTGGAAGGCTCCCTTCTCAATCCATACCAAGACATGCAAGGGCCATTTGGCCCAATTTGCCAGGCAGTGAAGACGTTGAGAGCTGGGCCATAGCCTTTGCAGATCGGGGGAAAGCAGTGCTGTCGCCTGCACATGAGTATTCTAGCTTTCATACACTTAAGGTCCAAGGACGGGTTTCGGGCCCTTGCCTGGTCTCCAGACTGTTCACGATTAGTGGCGCATGCCTGAGAAGATAAACTCCGGCCTTTGCCATCCTTCTCTTCAATGACAGACGATTTGCATTCTTCAGAGAGTGTTTGTCCTCTTCGCCTTTCATTTTGCCAGCGAAGGCAGCTGGCATGGACAAGGATGCGCGTGTGAGCCAATGCACTTTTCGGGAGCCTTGCTATGCTTTGCTTACGTTCTTGTTGTGATAGGTATATCTGGTTTCGGGCTCGGAGTACCGCACATGGGAGGCGCACATGCCGCTTCGTCGGACAAGTCATTTCCAGTGCGTTCCCTGCGTTGCAGGCAAATGGCATCCTTTGCGGGCATACTGATATTCTGCGAGCAGTCTCCTGGTCTCCTTGTGGACGTAAAGACTGATGCTCAGTTCCTCTGTTCTGCAAGCAGTCGCCCTTTCTCTCGCGAAGGTGTTGACAGGAGGCGACGACAAGACCGCACGGATTTGGAAGGCACTGACCGAGCAGTTGCATCTTGTGGTTTGACGGTGGCATGTAGGCATCAAGAACGGACCCGCTGCGCTGGGAGCAGTTTGCCGTCTTGCCTGGACACTCGGATTCGGCTAGCGGCCCAGAGAGAATCGCTTGGAATGTGTGTGTGTGTGTGTGTGTGTGTGTCTGTGTATTGCAGAGTACTGAGTTGAGGTCCGTGCAGTTGCATGGCGCCCGGACAAGGCATGGGCACAATTTCAGGCAGAACTCATTGGACAGGCCAATCAGGAATTCGTTCTTCTTGGGATTCAGTTTTTAACAAAGCTTGGTTTTGCAAGATGTTTTGCTCAACGTTTTCCTGTTTTGTGTTGTTTTGCTGGTTGTGCATGCCCATGGTGTTTGGATTGGAGGCTCGGGTCGTGGTTGCTGCTGGACTGGCAGATTCAACCATCGTCCTGTGGCGAGCTTCCTCAGCTCCGCACGACCGACGAGCGTTTGAGGCAGACGAGAGTAGTTTTAGTGTGTTTGCTTTCTGTTTTGGACTTTCCGTTTACTCCAGTTTGCTTAGTGGCTTGCTTGATTGTTCCTCGATTTTAGTATGTTTCACCATGTTTTACCGGGCTACTTGTGGCATGGGAAGCTCCCTAGATCAAGTCATACGTTCCGCAGGTGTTTGCGACATTGTCAGGGCATACTGGAGGCATCAGGCGGGTGGTCATTCGCAAACTTCAGTCCATGTTCGTTTGCGCAGAGTGGAGAAAACAGGTCGTTGGATTGGGCGCATGATGGCACAATGCTAGCAAGCGGAAGCGCCAAACTTAAACTGATTAGAGTTGCCTGGGCCAATTCTTTGTGTCTTGTTCACCTTTCGTGGCAATTGCACAATTTGCGGCCATACGCAGTGTGGCTTGACTCTGAGGCAAAGATGCGACCGCACGCATTTGGCATTGTGATCGATGGAAGGAACTGGCGACGCTTAGGCGTGGCTTGACTTCAGTACAATGTCGGCAATGTCACTGCCAGTGACAAAGGTCATAGCTTCAGAACTGTTGTGATTTTTGTTACAAGTGAAGTGTGTCCGAGTGTCCTATGTTGCTGGCAGGGCACACAGTCCTGCCGGAGTCCAAGCAGTGGCTTGGTCACCGGACAGCACTCGGCTAGCTACGGCTGGCGCCTGGGCCCCGCTTTTTTCCTCCTGGCTGTCGCTGCATTCGCTACAGCCGCAGCCTTGCTGAGGCAGATGCAATTCTGCGAGCGCAGCTCTCGGGTTCTTACAGCTTTGGCTGCAGAGATGCACGCTTTTCGCGTTTTCTCCATTCTTGACCTCACTCAGCCGTCATTGCTTCTTCAAAGGAGAGCCATGCGCCATGGCTCTTGAACTTCCCCCTCTACGCAGTCACATTGCTCTGCACCTGGAGCGGCCACGCAGATGCAGCAGCATTCATGTTGCTGGATCCGGCTGGACAAGAGCTGGAACTGCAATGGTAGTTGGTCTGGTATGCGGAAGCTTCGGCAGCCGACTCAGAGCGAGCTGCCGGTTTGCCAGACCCAAGAGGACAAAGCAGAGTGAGCATTTTTTT